ACCCAGATGCGAGGCGACGCTTACTATTCAGCTTGACTCGAAAGATCTTTTGACTTAGTAAGTCTACTTTAAAACCGCATTGCGGTTTAGGGTTTAGGGTTTAGGGTTTAGGGTTTAGGGTTTAGGGTTTAGGGTTTAGGGTTTAGGGTTTAGGGTTTAGGGGTTAGGGTTTAGGGGACTTAGTATTCCCCAAGGAAACCTCTGCTAATCCCCATAACCCACCTTCCTAGACCCACCTACTAAGTCAAAAGGGCTTCTAAGTAGGCCTTACATTCAGAACCCAAAACCTACCTGATGTAGGTTGCTACCACAGACAAAAGTCCCCCCCCCCCCCACACCCCCCCCCGCCGTGGGATTCTTAGGTGACATACGAAAAGAGGCTTCCTTGCTATACCCAATATACTTAGGGTGGGCGGGGGGGGGGGGGGGGGGGTGGCATGACCAACTGAAGCTAGAGCACCTATAGCTCAATCTTCTGTCTTCTGTCTCTACTGAGAACTACTTGGAAGCCCTTGTGACTTAGCAATTAGCAAGTAAGGCGAGTTCTGGGGGAGTTTAATGGGCTTTCTAGGATACGAAGTAGACTTACTAAGTCAAAAGAGCTTCTAAGTAGCCTAAACCCTCAACCTCTGAACCCCAAAACCCTCATGCACCAAACTCCATTTTAAGTTGTAGGGCTCGAAAAGCAACCCTCAGTCCCGTGGTTGAGTGCAAATCTCAGGGCAACCCGAAGCAAGAAGGGTTTAGGGCGTAGGGTTAGAGTTGCAGGGTTTGGAAAATTTCTGTGAGAGGGTTTAGGGTTTGGGGTGTCGGGTTTAGGGCTCTCTACACATGAAATCTGTCTTCGAGAGTTTGGAAGACACAAACGGCATTACGACCCTAAACCCTAAACCTTAAATCCTGAATCCTAAACCCCAAACCCTGTCGCCAAGCACTTGCAGCAAGCAAGCGGAGGTGCGAAGGCCTCATTCGCACAAATTCCCATTCGTGAATTATCCCCTCTCTACCAGACCTGACAGGGTTTAGGGTTTAGGGTTTAGGGTTTAGGGTTAGGGTTTAGGGTTTAGGGTTTAGGGTTTAGGGTTTAGGGTTTAGGGTTTAGGGTTTAGGGTTTAGGGTTTAGGGTTTAGGGTTTAGGGTTTAGGGTTTAGGGTTTAGGGTTTAGGGTTTAGGGCTTCTGAAAACATGAACTCACAGGATTTCTGTCTGTAGGCATGAGGGGGACTCCGCCATGCCTGACACCCCAACCTTTCCTAGCACTCTCTATTCGGGCTTAGGGTTTAGGGTTTAGGGTTTAGGGTTCAGGGTTTAGGGTTTAGGGTTCCTACGGCACCTACCCTCATAACTGAACCCTATGGCCCTAAACGAAAAACACCTAAACCCCAAGACTTCAACCTAAGCCCTGTAGCCTGAACACACTCAACCCTACACCCCACATGGGGGTTTCCGAAAATTTGGGACCCCCCAAATAGCCCCCCCAAATATTAATATTCACTTCTAAGGACCCCGATAAGGTACCTCCCCCACCCCCCATTTTCGGAAACCCCCAACGGCTGAACATATGATGGCGCGTCAAGCCTTGACCCTGAACACCGACTATAGCAGTAGGTTCTGATAGGTTTAGGGTTTAGGGTTTGGGGTTTAGGTTTAGGGTTTAGGGTAGGATCTGCTGCTTCGGGGTTGCGCGTTCGAAGGCCGTGGATTCAGGAAAATGCAAAACTAAAATTCAAGGGAGTCTTTCCGCTAAAATACTCCGAATATGGCCCTTCTATTACCTTAGAGGATCTTTGACAACCCCGAACGCAGTACAACCTTAGGGGTTCGAGGTAGAATCACATGAGAAATATCCCACGGGCCTCCCAACTAAGGGTTGAGGGGGCGTGTTCGGCTCTCGAACCAAAAGCGGTTTAGGGTTTGGGGTTTAGGGTTCAGGGTTTAGGGTTTGGGGTTTAGGGTTTAGGGTTTAGGGTTTGGGGTTTAGGGTTTAGGGTTTAGGGTTTAGGGTTCAGGGTTCAGGGTTCGGGATAGAGAGGGTTCCACATGACGCGCATGTCGGCAAGACTGGCGTCGACAAAAACGCGCCACAAAGGTCACGCCACCTGAGACCAGGACAAACAAATCGCTGTCCCCTCTGGTACCCCTAAGGGTTCAGGGTTTTGGGTTTAGGGTTTAGGGCTTAGGGCTTAGGGTTTAGGGCTTAGGGCTTAGGGTTTAGGGTTTAGATGTACCTATGTAGTATATACTTGGGCCCTAAAGCTACTATATGAACCCCTTTCAGGCCCAAGTATCTACATAACATAGTATTACAGGTAATCTAAACTCGGAACCCTAAACCCTAAACCCGAAACCCTAAACCCTTTGGGGCAGGCACATGCACCCTGAGGCACGGCAAGTCCTAGAGGAGTTCGGAGTTTTAGAGTTTTTGGGTTTTAGGGCTTAGGGTTTTAGGATTTAGGGTTTTAGAGTTTTAGGGTTTTAGGGATTTACGGTTTTGGGCTTTAGGGTTGTAGGGTTTTCGGGCCTTAGGGTCTGCATGCGCCTAGCCTATATCAAGGTCGCCCGAAACCTGACGCTGCCTCACGAGGAACCCCTGAAGAAACGGAATTGCCGCTTTAGAGGCCAAGCACCTCCTGAACGACCTTAATAAAGGTAAATGTTAAGGATTTAGGGTTTAGGGTGTCGGGGTAGGTACGTGTGCCTTTTTCCAGGCGTTTAACTTTGAATGCATCAGCGACCAAGATCCTTGAACCCTGGAAGCCTTCCACCAGCGGAGAACCCCCCGAACCTTATAGGAGTTTGGGCGCCTGTAGGGCGTTTAGGGCTAAAAGGGGTGCTTGCAGGAGTTTAGGGGCCTGTAGGGCTTTTAAGGCTAAGCGGGTAGATAGGGCTTTCAGGTAGCTTATAGCGTTTACACCGTTTTGTGCTCGTCGGGATTCTGGTTGTTTGGCCCTGGCTTCTGTAGCATGCATGTAGGGTTCATGGGTGTGGAAGACCTGCAGGCTTCTGGGGGTCTGGGGGTTTGCGGACGGTAGCCCTAATAAACCCTAAACCCCAAACCCCAAACCCTAAACCCTAAACCCTACACCCTAAACCCCGAACCCCCGAATTCCTCTCACTCCTAAGCCCAAAGCCCTCTTGGGTTGACCGGGCGTACACTTTTCGGGTTCTTAAGGGAGGGGGGCTCAAGGGGGGTAGGTACCTAGGAACCTAGGGAAGCTTAGGGAGCCTTAGGGAGTAGTAGGGAGTATTAGGGAACCTTGGGTTACATACCCTAAATCACCCTAAACCCTAAACCCTAAACCCTCAAATCATACCCCCCTTGAACCCCCCTTCCCTTAAGAACCCAATAAGTAGATGGCCTCCGGCCATTCGTACATTGCCATGAGAGGAAGCCGAAATGCTGGAAGCTGCGCTGCGGCTTCCTTCCAGCTGCTGTTGAGGGTTTAGGGTTTAGGGTTTAGGGTTTAGGGCTTAGGGTTTAGGGTTTAGGGTTTAGGGTTTAGGGTTTAGGGTTTAGGGTTTAGGGTTTAGGGCTCATGGCTCCAAATTTCGGGTCTATAGGGACCCCCCTCCCGCGTGTCCTCGGGCGTCAGCATGGACAAGTAGAGGGGGCTGTGCCCTGCGAGGACCAGATGCGGCACCTGGGCTTTCGGGTTTAGGGTTTAGGGTTTAGGGGTAGGGCTCTTAGGTTTGGGTAGGGGTTTGGGGCTTTGGGGTTGGGTTTCGAGCTTAGGTTACAGTGGAGAGTGCCCCTCTCGACTAGTCTCAGAGCCATGGCAACTCCACTACTTGCGGGGGGGGGGGGGTGCTAAACTCTACACCCTCAACCGAAACCCTAAACTCCGAAAGCCTAACGCCCTGTGTTAGGGTTTAGGGTTTAGGGTTTAGGTTTTAGGGGTTAGGTTTAAATTAGCGTTTAGGGCTTTTGGCGTATCGGCTGTCTGTGCGTGTAGGGTCTTGGACGTCGCTGGTGTCAACCCCCCCCTCCAACACGTTAAACCCGAAAAGGTCAGTCCTCACTGGGCGTGCAGGGCTCTCTCTAAACAAGCATATCCAGAATAGTCGTAGGTCAGTTCTTGAATCTCTATTTCTAAATCCTGCCCTAAATGCTTCATGAAGAAACGGAACACCTTTTAAGCAGCGTCGTGCATTATGGCTTCGGTAGATGTAGCCGAGCACGGCATTCCGACAAGACTTCTGCGTCCGTGCTACCTGTTTCCCCTTTGAGGGGACTCGAAATCTTCAAAAACCATCGCACACATGCGACGTGGGGCAAGGTATGTGCTTGCACCACTCGCCATGACTGGTTCTCAGGGGTGTAGGGTGTAGGGAATCAACCCTCATAGGGTCGTGGGGGTTGCACCCTCATTGGGTTCTAGGGTTTAAGGTTCTAGGGTTTTGGGTTCTAGGGTTTCGGGTTTAGGGGTGTCGGCTTTAGGGGATTCAGGGTTTAGGGTTGCACCCTCATACGCCCAAGCTGTCGGGTCTTCCTGCCTTCGCAGTAAACAAGTCGCCACATGCTGTATTCATCGTGGCACCACTCCAGTACTAGAAGGTCCGGCCGACAGGCGACGACCCTCTAAGACTTGTGCTACTCTGAGGAGGAGTAAAATAGAGGTCGGAATAATTACTCATAGTCTTTCCTGATGGCCCCGATATATAAATATACTAAAATGACCCCAAAACCCTGTTCTGATTATGTCGGCTCTACATGGCCGCGTACGTGTACTCAGCATGAGGTGCTGGTCCTTGAACTAGTACAAGAGAACCCAATGCCCCTTATTTAAGGACAATACCTGGAACTAGATAGGGATCCTTACTATGCTTCAAGGCATTTTCCTTGTTTAAGGAGTAATAGTGGACTCTTTGGGTAGTACTGGAAATCCAGCACCGTTTATGTGTTGACAATACTGCACCAGAATATACGATTCGATCCCGCAAAGCACAAGCACCTTAACTCCGCTAACCTTGGCCTCCATAATCTCCTGGCTACGAATCAGTCAGCACCAGCAGTTGAGGAGGAAGCTCTGCACTACTAACGTCCTTGGTAGCCCACTAAACCATATTTTGACAAGGGCACCCTTTTCTTCAGCTGGTTACTTTATAAGGGAACCTTGAACCCAAAGAAAGGGAAAAGGGTACCACTGCACTACCAAGCGTCTGCATCTCACCACGGAGTCGCCCCACAAAGAAGAAGACAAACTCGAAGTCATCATCGTGGCCGTAGGGATCCTCATGGAGCAGCGGGAGGTACATTGTTTGCCACCCATATCTTATACTGCTAGCTATGTGACTATAAGCACCTAGAACCATGTTCGAAGATATAACGGAACCTGTTATGGAAAAAAGGCATTCCCGTAGGTTCACCTGTGCTCTTCAAGATATGGATATGTGAAAACTCTTGGCTTACATCTTGCTTCGCTCCTCGTAGGCCACGAGTAGAGAAGGGCTGTAACAGCAGTGCTGCATGAATGCAACGATCTTGTCAACGTGAGCCCTGAAACTGTCCGGATGAACACCTGCCTTGCTCTCGTCAAGCTCAAGCCACGCGGTGAGACGCTCAAGCACGTTCTCTGTGGTCAAGGGCACATTCGTCATTTGGCGGTGAGACATGGCCCAGTCCAGCCTCGCTTGCTTGCTGGCCGGCCAGTCGCTGTAAGTGTCGAAACGGTGCCACCTTCGGAGTATACCTTGGTAGCCCAGTAACCTGGGATGAAAAAGGGTACCCTTCTTTGCTTAAAGGGTTTTATAAGGGAACCTAAACCTACCAAAAAGGGAATAAGGGTACTACTGGGCATCCTAGTGGTAGCCCAGTAACCATGTAATAATACCACGGGCACCCTTTTTTGGGGTTGGTTACTGCAAAAGGGAACCTTGAACCCAAAAAAGGGAACAAGGGCACCACTGGGCACCCAAGATGCTGCTCTCATCTGCTGTCTCCAGCATGCTGTGCAGGAAGTCCTCTGTGTCTATGGGCAGCGGCTCTCGACGAATCAGGGTCACGGAATCCGCAGTCACTTCTGCCTCATCTGGCAGCTCCTCAGAGCCTGCAATGATCTTTTGCAGGAGCGACGGAATGCCCAGACGCCGTTCCAGCATCGGCTTCACATCGGCAACTGTGAAAGGGACCTTCATCCCAAGTTGTACTCTCTCACCCGATAGCATCTCCACCGACAACTCCCTCCTCTCTTCGCCCTCCTCTGTGGCCGCCTCAGTGTCACCTGTATCACCTGCAGGAAGTACTGCAGAAGGTATTCGGGCATTCTCAATGAAGTAGACATCACTCGCAAGGTTGGTTGGCGACTCCACGGTAATTTCAAGGATGTGATGCCAGCAGGGATCAGTCGAATAGGCCCACGAGGTTAGGGTCTTTAGGATGTCGTCCTTGGTCACTTCACCTTGTGGATTTCCAGGTACCCATATTATATGCTTGGGCCTCATAAGGGGTTCCCATACAGTAGCTTTAGTGCCCAAGTGTACACCCCAAACCCCAAACCCCAAGCCGCAAACCCTGAACCCTAAACCCTAAACCCTAAACCCTAAACCCTCATAGCCTTGCGGGATCAAGGTGGTCGCCGTCTCTGAAGACGCATCCATGGCTTGCTGTAGACGGAAGAAGTAGTGTAGCACCAACGTAGGGTTTAGGGTTTAGGGTTTAGGGTTTAGGGTTTAGGGTTTAGGGTTTAGGGTTAAGGCTGTAGGGTTTAGTGTCGGAGTGATAAAGCAATAAACTCACCCATATGGCAGTACGAAAGAAGTGCTGTTGTAGCAACAGATAGCAATATTTGTAAACATGTGAACCTGACACACTCACAACGTGTAACATGGGAGTTTACGACCATGAGGGGCCCCGTGAATATAGAGCCCCAAATTGCAGGATTCCCGTATGATAAGGACCCGAATACGGTACCCCGAATATCGGAAACCTCCAGATAGGTAGAACGCCAGGACCCTATCGAAGTGAAGCGCAAATCCGCGTTGCAAGAACACAGCACGAAGGCGGCGGTGGGGTTCTGTTTAGGGTTTGGGGTTTATGTGGGGCCTTAATTAGGGACCCCTGGTATACCCTCAATATACCCTACAAAACCCACGGGCCCATACTTCAGAACCCCTTGGAAAAGGCAAGGGACCGAACTAAAGCACCATGCCAGTCCCTGTAGAAGTGAATAGCATGAGCGATGCCTTAGCCCCTGAGACTCCGCCACAGACCCGACAGAATGCGGGGAGTGGAACATGTACAGGCTAGATTAGAACCCTATACCATCCCTATGGAACCTCTCAGAACAATCCCAAACCGGACAAGTTAGGGTTTGAGGTTTCTTTAGGGCTTCGGGCTTAAAGTTGTAAGCCCTAATGTGGACATGCCCATGCTGCATAGTATCTTTTTACTGTGGGCTTTCTTGCAAAAAGTACCATCCCCCGCATCCCCTGGGGTTGAGGGTTTAGGGTTCGAATTGCTTGAGCGCGACACTCTGTACCCAGAAGCGTATCCTGAAAACTCAGGTGGGGTTGCTCTACAAGACCCGAGAGAGACCTAGGAAGAAAAAGGTTTAAGGTGTAGGGATTAAAAGGGGCTGATAAGGGAACCTAAACCACCCCCCAAAAGGTAATAATGGCATAATGCGGATCCCATAGTCTATATTCTACATTAAGGACTCTGTCGTGTCTGTGTCTTTTGAGATTTTGAGAGGGAACGGTCTCTAGCAAAGGGTATTCGTCCTTCAGTAGTTTAAAGGGAAACTGCTAAATCCTCAACCGCTAAACCCGAACCCCTGAACCGTAGACCACCAAACTCTGAACCCTCCCCCCTTAACCGCAAACCGTAACCCCTAACCCCCCCCTCCCCCCCATAGCCCCCCCCAGCCCCAAGTAAACTGGCAAGAGGACTCTGGGATTCCCAGCCAGGCCCCTGTACAGAATTGCGTCTGGGTAGCAAAGCCTCGGCTTTCCAGGACGGGGTGGTAGGGCATACGTGGAGGTTCATGGTACTTACAAGCCAATTGTAACTGTACCTATAACTGTACTTATAACCATATCAGGGCACTTTAAGTACAGTTCTTGGTTCGTTTGTGACGGCTTCGTCGTCGTGTCGCCAACACGATCTGCGAGAACCTTGAGCTACTCAGAGTGCTTCGGGTCGGTGGACTTGATGTAGTAGGAGCCCAAGGACGTGGCGTCACATTCGATATGACAACCGAGCAGAATGCGTCTGCACATCCACTGGTCCACCGTGCACTCCACACCCCGCATAGCATTCAAGAAGTGTGTAGCACAGGTTCTGTCCACGCCACACTGCTGGACAAGGTCATTGACCTTCACGGGCTCGTCTGCTGGCTGGGAGCAGTAGCGTGCGATCAACCTGCTAAGATGCCCCGGCATCAGTCGCAGACCACGCACGGCATTTCCAGCCGTCGCACCGCCAGCGACAGAGTTACGGAGCACGGGTTTGCGGTTCGATTTATCGTGCTCCCCACCCCACCCCGCCCCGCCCCCCCCCCCCCCCCCCCCCCCCCCAAAACCCCCCCCCACCCCCCCCCCCCCCCCCAAAACCCCCCCCCACCCGCCTCTACTTAGGGCCATTCCCCCCACCCCCCACGAAGCTCCAAGTAGGGTAGTTACCTAAATTAGTGTCCCTTTTTCCTACTCATTATAAGGGGTCACCCTGTAAGAAGGACACCCAAAAAAGAAACCCAAATTTAGAGAATTACCCACATAGGGTTGAGGGTTTCGGCTTTTAGGGGCTGATACTGGAACCTAAATAAAGGGAATAAGGGCCCACTCTGGGTCCAAGGCCGAACACGACTTCTGCTGAGTCTTGTTAGGGCCTTATGGAACATGCTTCCTTCATTCACTCCAAGGGCGCTTGCACCCTACAGCCCAAGTCCTAAACCTGAAGGGTTATCAAACCAAGCCTGTAGCCCTAAACTCAAGACGATGTGCCGTTCACCAGTTGCGACCAGAATGCACTTCAACCCTCTTGCCACGAATAGCTGCTATAGGGACTGACATATGTTGGGGGCATATGAATGGGAGACCCTTATTTGCCAATCCTGAAACCAAGACTAGACCTTAAACCCAGCCAACTCCCTACAAAACCCCTATAGCAGGCCCTACATAAACCCTAATCCCTGAACCCCTAAACCTCCAAAATCCCCACATGGAGGTGGTGGGCGAAAGTCCAAGAAGTAAACTTTAACCCCCCCCCCCCCCCGACCACGGAAGCTGAGCATGCGGCTTGAGCGTGTTACTGGCGCCTGGTAAGAGGTTTTCTGCGGCTCTACTATGCTTGGCTATGCTTTGCTTTCGCTATTCTGAGCTGACTGAACCATACGGCGCTAAATGCGGGAGGACTTTAACGTACAAGCCCTGTAGCCCTAAACCTAAACCCGAACCCCTAAACCCTAAACCCTAAACCCTAAACCCTAAACCCTGAACCCTGAACCCTGAACCCTACATCCTCAAAGCCTTCCTCCGCGAACCCCTATCGAGGTATCCCCGTCATCCCTACAACGCCAACGCCTAACTGGGACTCCCAGGTTCAGGGTTTAGGGTTTAGGGTTTAGGGTTTAGGGTTTAGGGTTTAGGGTTTAGGGTTTAGGGTTTAGGGTTTAGGGTTTGGGCAGAACCTTCTTATTCGGAGGTAGGAATAGGGGCCCTTGGTGATGTAGACCCTCTCAGTAAGGGGGTTGAGAAAGGGTCCCCTTTCAAGGGTCTCCCTAATCCCCCCCCCCCCCCCCCCCCCTCCCCCCAAATTCTGGGGAACAACAAGATTCCTCCCAAGACAGACAGGAAAGGTAAGCAGAGCTCCAGGAGAACACTACAACCTGAACCCTACGCCCCCAAACCCTAAACCCCAAACTCCAAACCCTAAACCCTAAACCCTGAACCCTGAACCCTTAACCCTAAACCCTAAACCCCCAACCCTAAGCCCTTACTAAGCCCTAAACCCCCCCAAACCCCTGAGCCTCTCTGGACTGCATTCTGCCGCTGCGCGTCCGGATCCCAAACGCTTGCTACGCAAGCCGGCTCCTCATTCCCGCAGGTGTATTTGGGGTTTCGTGTTTTGCCCTAAACCCTAAACCCTAAACCCTAAACCCTAAACCCTAAACCCTAAACCCTAAACCCTAAACCCTAAACCCTAAACCCTAAACCCTAAACCCTAAAGCCAACAACCTGAACCCTAAACACCATAGGGATCTAAAAGGGCTCTATAGGGCACTGAAGGGCTTTTATAGGGCTCTAGACCCAAGAGTAACCTAGGAATAAAAGAGCGCCCTTTTTTGTTTTCAAGGGGCCTGTAAGCCTATAAGGGAACCTAAACTCTAAAAATGGGTTTAGGGGTTTAGGGCTTAGGGTTTATAGGGTTAGGGCAACGGCCTCACAATGTAGGTCCTCGTCCAACACATCGCGATACGTGGATCGCAAACTAGATAGCTCCTGGCCCACGCCGCTGCCACATGGGAGTCTACGAAAATCAGGGACCCCGAATAAACACCCCCAAATAGTAGGACCACCCTTTAAAAGGGACCCCAAGAAGGTGCCCACTAAACCCTAAACCCTAAACCCTAAACCCTAAACCCTAAACCCTAAACCCTAAACCTTAAACCCTATCATCGTAAGTAAACCCCCACATCAGAACCGACAGCTAGTAGCTTCGGCGTTTAGAGCTTGGGGCCTGTAAGATCCCAAAATACACCCACGAAGCTGCTCCTGAGGCCCTTGCTTCTTAGGGTTCCTTGGACCATTGGAAGTGCCGGGGGTAACCCTAAACGCTAAACCCTAAACCCTAGACCCTAGACCCTAAACCCTAACCCTTAAACTAACCGCAGTTGCCTTAAGGCCTGGAGGTTTTTCGGGAGCTCGAGGTTTGAATGCTATGGGAGAGTTTGGTACTCGAACCAAGAGGTGCGCGTGTTACGCTTGAGTTGACTGAGCAACTGTTCAGGCACAGTAGCTAGGGTTTAGGGTTTAGGGTTTAGGGTTTAGGGTTTAGGGTTTAGGGTTTAGGGTTTAGGGTTTAGGGTTTAGGGTTTAGGGTTTAGGATTTAGGGTTTAGGGTTTAGGGTTTAGGGTTTACGGTTTCAAGGTTTAAGAGTTGATGGTTGGGATGTAGCCCCTTATACTACCAGTCCATAATAGGGATTATAGTACCCAATTACTTACTTCTCCAATAACCAAGGTGAAAAAAAGGTTAAACTTTAATATTTCTACTAAATAAGGAAACCCAAAAAGTTTAAAGTTCACCTAAAGGCGAAGTAAGATTAATACCTATTGAGGACTGTTAGTTTAAGGGGCAACATTCCAAGTTTAGGGCTGATAACCAAGTGTGTGACCCGAAGCCCGAAGCACTAAACCAGGCCGTCCCCCCCTCCCCAAACAGGAGAGAGTAGGCAAATGGGGACCCACATAGTCCAGGGGCTGAAAATTAGGAGCGAGTAACCCTAAACCCGAAACCCTAAACCCTACGGGGCATCCTAGCTTGAACCTGAAAGGGATTGGGGATTAGGATTGAAACCCTGAAAACCCTGAAAACCCTAAACCCCAAACCCTTGAACAAATAGGAGCGTGTAAAGAAGAGAAGGAGGCAAAAGTGGGGTGTGTGTGAGTGGGTGGGTTAGGATTCCGCCAGGTGTTTGCTTCGTGAAGTTCCAACCTAAAGGCTTGCTGCTCTGGTCTTGCAAGGAAGACGCCAAAAAAACTAAACTCCAAACCCTGAACCCGAAACCCGGAATCCTGAACCCTACACCCGTCCTCCACCACATGGGTCATTTCTGTACCTGCGTTGCTTCGAGATGGGTCGGCTCCGGATTGGGCGGGGGGGGTGGCTTGATATGGAGGGGCTTACAAAAACAAGGGACCCCTAGTATAGCCCCCCCAAATAGTAGGATTCCCTTCTAATGCCCAAAAAAATTCCCCCCCCCCCCCAATTTCAGAAACCCCCATATGGAGGGGCGCACAGTGCGGGGCTCAGGGCTTCAGGCCCTGCAGGGGCCCGGAGGCCCTTAACTTGCTGGGCTGAGGGTTTCGGGTTCTTAGGTAGGGAAGGAGGGTCAAGGAATCAGAGTTGCCCGGAACGGGTTGCCCGAATCGCTACTTCGCTACAGTGCTTTCTAAGAACCAGCAACTATAAACCCCAAGTCGATATTGCTGAGCCCTAGACCGGCCCTGGACCCCCCCGCCCCCCCCGTCCACCCGTCCACCCCCCCCACAAAAAAAGAGAACCTGCAAAACTCTAAGCCTTTGAGCCCTAAACCCTAAATCCCAAATGCCGAAAGTCTCAGCCCCTGAGCCCTAAACCCTCAGCCCCGAAAACCCAAACAAACTGCCTAAACCCTCAACCCCTACAGCCTAAACCAACCTCCCAAACCCTAAACCCTCAAGCAAACCTTTAACCTTAGCTTTGGAGTAGACCCTGGCAAAAAAGCATATACTTTTTAGGTATGAGTAGCTATAATAGGAACCCAGAACAAAAAATATTAAAGTATAGTACTCCAAGACCCAGTAACAGTTCCAAACCGAACCCAAGCAGTGGGGGCCTCCCAGGCCCAAGCAATCAACGGAAAACAATATGGCTCTCTCCTGCTCCAGTGGGAGTTTGGCGAAAGAGCTTTCGGGCTTAGGATATTTTAGGGTTTAGGGTTTCGGGTATAGGGTTTGGGGTACAGGGTTTGGGGCTTCGGGTTTAGGGTCTTAGGCAGAGAACTCTGTGGTTTAGTTCGGTTTGCGAGCAGCTTGTAGTTTGATCTTAGGGCAGTTGCTCCCTGAATATAGGCCCTTAAAAGGGGAACCTTATATATCCCTTAAATACCTAATGCCCAAGGGCACGAGCTACCCTTCGATTATACTTGCAGGGTTTCGGGCTTATGGCTCTAGCATAGGCCCTCGCAAGAGCTCTAAGAGAACAAGCGCAAGGTACCTTTGCTGGGGCTCAGTCCGGCTTGTGAGAGATCCATGTCCAAAGAACTCGGGGTTTAGGGTTTAGGGTTTAGGCTGGGGTTCAGGGTTATGGGAATCGGTGTAGCTGGGCATCAAAGTTTTCCGTGAGGTGGTTTAGTAATCTTAGCCACCCCGCCCCGAAAACCTAGAAAGTTAATTACATGAAAAACACATGTGTATATGCATATGTGTATATCATGTATGCATCTATGCGTGTATATATATATATATATGATCTGCTATGAGATGATGTGACATGGTAGAATATTATTACACACCCACACACACACATATATATATATATATGCACATCGTCTCACATATGCATAAGTACATGTGTATGTATATGATACATACGCATGCATGCAGGCATGCGCCCATAGTGCTGAAGAGAAGACCAGGGGTCCAAGGGCTCAGGCTTGGGGTTTAGGATTTCTTCATGGGGACGCACTCACTAGTTGAAAGTGGGAGTGGCAAGCACGGAGTCGGTCGCAGCATCAGGGAACCCTAAACTCTAAACCCCAAACCCCTAACCCTACGCCCTAATTAAGCCCTGCAGTCTAAACCCTAAACCCTTAGCCCTACACTCCAGGATGTAGGCTTCGGGTCTTGGGCTACCGTGTTGACTGCGAGGGGTACTTGGAGGTTCATGGTGCCTATTAACCAATTATATCTGTACTCATAACCCACTAAGCCCCTTGAGTGCCCGAATATGGTTAGAAGTACAGTTATAAGTACAGTTCCTAAACCCTAAACCCTAAACCCTAAACCCCTTCAAGTACAGTTAGATGTACAGTTGTAATAGGTTAACAAGTACCATGAACCTCCAAGCACCAGGGTTTCGAGCCGATCTGCACCCTGGAACATCCCGCGCCTTCAAATGTCCGAAAACCCGGGTTTGGGGTTTAGGGTGTGGGGTTTGGGGTTTAGGGTTTAGGGTTTAGGGCTTGGGGTTTAGGGTTTAGGGCTTGGGGATTGGGGCTTACGGTTTAGGCCCGAAACTCCAACGAACCGAACTTGCCACACCTCCGTCTCTAGCAGCTGCTTCAGCCCATCTACGTCTCGCGGTGGCACCTTCTTCAGCGGAGGCTGCTTGGAGGTTCGTGGGTACTTATAAGCTCTATTAAGGGTTTAGGGTTTAGGGTTGAGGGTTTAGGGTTTAGGGTTTAGGTTTGAGGTTTAGGTTTAGGGTTTAGGGCTTTTGGGTTATAAGTTATAACCCCAATTGTAAGTCTACTTATGACCTTCTAAGAGGACTTAGGGGGCTTGTAAGTATAGTTACAAGTGGTAATATAAGTGCCCTGAACCTCCAAGTGGGGGGGAACTTTGGGGTCAGGCTTGGGGAGGTTTGTAGTAGAGTGGTTCGTTGTGCAGGGGATCCTAAGGGACTAAACTGGAACTTCTGGGGTTTGAGGGCTTGGAACGCAGCTGGTTGCACAAATCGAGGCCTTCCGTTTCAAGCAGACAGCTCCTGCCCCCCGCAAGCTAAATTAAAATCTAGGCGCATGCAAATGGTCAAACGCACCCCAAAAACCTGAACCCTCAACCTAAACCCTATCCGCCCCCCTCCCCCCCCCCCCCTTCCCTCCCAAAAAACATTAGTTAGACTTGCAAACGAGCGGGTGTTGTGAAAGCAGGGCCTGATACTCGAAATCCCCGAATTCCCCTAAGCCCCTGAGTTTCGGGGTTGAGGGAGAAGGGTTTGGGCTTAAGACGCGAGTGACAGCGCCAGGGTTTCTAGGGTTCTAAGAGGACGTCCCTAAACCCTAAACCCTAAACCCTAAACCCTAAACCCTAAACCCTAAACCCTAAACCCTAAACCCTAACTCATGGTCCCAGCCTGGGCCTTGTAGTTGATCACCCGGATAACTCGGGAGCTGGCGTCGGCTTCGTCCTCGAAAGGCCCGCTTGCCAAGAGAGTGAGTCAAACTCGGACCCCCTTAAAAGGTTAGGGTTTAGGGTTTAGGGTTTAGGGCTTAGGGTTTAGGGTTTAGGGTATGGGGTTTGGGGTTTAGGGTTTGGGGGTCAAGAGAGTCATACTCGGAGTGTTAAGGATGTACCCCTAAGAGGTTCCCTTCTTGGAGGGTTTTAGGGTTTAAGGTTTAGGGTTTTAGGGTTTAGGGCTTGGGGGTAGGGCTCAGGGTTCAGGGTTCGGGGTTTAGGGATCAGGGTTGAAGAAGCAGACACATGCAAGTGGGCGCTGATCGTGCGCCGATTCTTTTCTTGGAGATAAGGGTTCAGAGGTTTTGAGTTGTGGGGGGCTTGGAGGTTAAATAGGTTGTTGGTTGGGTTTAGGGTTTAGGGTTTAGGGTTTAGGGTTTAGGGTTTAGGGTTTAGGGTTTAGGGTTTAGGGTTTAGGGTTTAGGGTTTAGGGTTTAGGGTTTAGGGTTTAGGGGTAGTAGGGGTAGTAGGGGTAGTAGGGGTAGTAGGGGTAGTAGGGGTAGTAGGGGTGGTAGGGGTAGTCGGGGTAGTAGGGGTAGTCGGGCTCCGAAGCCCTGAGCCGCTCCTGGCGAAGCTTCATGTCGGCCGACAAGCCGCCGTCAAACTCGACCTGGCTTTCGAGCCTCAGCAGCAAGTCTGGGCTGTTCTTGGAGTAGATACATGTCCCTTAGCTACTCTTAGGGTTTAGGGTTTAGGGTTTAGAGTTTAGGGTCTACTTTCTGAAGGTAGTCACATGGTCCCTGAATATGGGCCCTTAAAAGGGGACACCTTGTATACCCCTTATACCCAAGGACCCATACTTCAGAACCCTTTTAAAGGAGGTAAGGGGCCAGTCGGGCTTAGACCTTGTTACTGTACAGTAAACTCCAAGAAGCTATCCTTATCCCTATACCCCAGAGGTATACTAAAGGGAATCCCAGATCTCATTATCCTTGAGCCATGCGCCAACTTTCTGGAGTTTACTGTTGGATTTGACTCGATTGGTGGAACATGTCTGTTGATTAATTGCAGGCCCTAAGCCCCTGAGACAAAACCTATACAACATACACATGAGCACAAAGAAGATGTTTTTTAATGCCCCCCCCCCTTGGTTGTCATGCCGACCACCCCGACACTCAGGGCGAAGCGACCCTAAACCCTAGAGCCTACAAACCCCCCCCCCCCCCCCCCAAAAAAAAAAAAAAAAACATCGCAATCAGGGTCAAGGCTTTAGGGCCTTCACTGGGGCAGTTCTCTTTTTGCACGTTTTGCTTGGTTGGAGGGGGGGTCAAAAAGGAATGGGCACATAGAAATCAGGCAGTTCTTTCGAATTCAGTTCCTTTTGCTCTCGAGCTCAAAGGGTCCCTGAGACTACAAGTCAAACAGGGCCCTGAGACTACAAGCAGGGTGGGGCATTTCCTTCAAGACCATACAAGGTGGAGAAATTGGGGCCCTAGAGTCAAGTAGGTGACAAGCTGCTGATAAGGCTTCTTGCAGCCCTTGATATGGTCCCCTAGCCTATCTTATGAAGGGTTCTGAAGTACGGGCCCTGAAACAGGGCTTCCCAATTCAGGGCCCTGCGAAGGGCTCTTGTACCTACCCTACGTTGATTGGGGTTTGGGGTTTAGGGTTTAGGAATTAGGGTATCTGTACCACCCAAAACACCTAGCAGTCGAACATCTTCCACCCAAATCAGCAAGCCCAAGCATCTTGAGCCCACAACCCTAAGGCTTCACCCACAACAGTTCTGACTTGCGAGAACAACATTGACAAGGGGTAGGGTTTAGGGTTCAGGGCTTAGGGTTAAGGATCACAAAAGCACTGTGAACTGTGCAGCTGGAACGCCTGTTTTGCTGGCCAAGCTGGCTCATGCACTCGCAGCTATTTCGGCCCTAAACCCTAAACCGAACCCTAAACCCTAAACCCTAAACCCTAAACCCTAAACCCTAAACCCTAAACAGTGAGAACGTGGGTCCTGTGTCTGGTCGGGAAACCTTTGCGGCTTAGGGTTGAGGATTTAGGGTTTAGGGTTTAGGGTTTAGGGTTTGGGGTTTGGGGTTTAGGGTTCCCGAAACTGGACCTTCAACCCGAAGCCCTGAACTGTAAAGCTGAGATGAACCAAGCACCCCGAAACCCTAAACACTTTTGAACAAAAGGATTTAGGGTTTACCTTAAGACTTAAGACGCCAAACCATATTTTTGTGTAGGACCTGATTGTTAATTATCTTGGTCTGGGATCTAGTTCTTAAGAACACCCTTGCAAACATACGGAAAAATCATAGGATACCTTATAAGGCAAGTCCAGTGACAGTCGACGCCTTCCACGCCAACCCTTTTATGGGGGCTCCAGATTTCAGGCTTATATCGGTGGATCTTACTTACAGGTTTGGGGTTCTTCAACGTTAACAAAATCCCTAAATGCCTGGAATCTTGCTACATTTAGGGTTTCGGGTTTTGGGTTTTTTTTTGACGTTAAAAACACCCTAACTGCCTGTAATCTTGCTAGATTTAGGGTTTAGGGTTTCGGGTTTGGGTTTCATCGAGGCTATGCCGCGCAGACGACAGGAGCCTGGCCGGACACCTCCACTTCAGGCTCAGTTGGTGTGTTCGGGCACACGATGCTCTTGACCTCAAGCCGCAACAGACACAAAAACCAAGCCTGGAGATGTTCCCCCGTACACCAACAGTCCTTAATGTAGGGATGCTAGTTAGTAGGGGGGGGGGGTACTATCATCCCGATTAAGGACGCTAGTATACGGGGGAACATCCCGACGCGAACAACTAAATAAACAGACCAAGCCCCCCAACCCGAAACTTCAAAGTTTAAAAAGCAAAGGGTGAGTCCTCCAAATGAGGGTGCTTTTTGGTATTCCCTAAATAATAAAAATGAACTCGGATTTAGAGAAGTGACCACCTGAAACCCAAACCCTTAAACCCTAACTAAACCCTAAACCCTAAACCCTAACTAAACCCTAAACCCTAAACTCAAAACCCCAAACTCTAAACGCTACACTCCTAGAGGACGACATCCCAAATCGAAGCTTCAAATCTCGTGCTTGCGTAAACCGGTAGTTACACGATCCCTTAATATGGGCCCTTGGAAGGGGGGCCCTTATATACACCTTGTGTACCCTACACAAATTCAGGGCCCATACATCAGAAGCCTTTAAGGTCAAGTAGGGTGACTGAGGGCTATGGATGCGACTTGTGAGGTCTTCTTGCTTCGGGTCCAGGGCTTCGGGGTTCCTCTGAGAATTGCTTGGGCTTGGGTACTCTGGGCTCTCGAGGGACCCTGTTGGGATGAGGCTTTGAAGTAGGAACAGCTCCAGGGACTCCCTGGGGATACTCTGGGGAAAATCAGGAACCAGAGGGCTTAGGGGCAACAACCTGTGGCAGCTTCGAAACCACGCCCAGGCACGCTCAACCCCAACACCTCAGGCGCCCGCGAAGTCCACCAAGGGCCGGCCAAGGGCATAGCCAAGGCCAGAGCCTTTGTTAGGGCAGGGTTGAAGGTTGAGGGTTGAGGGTTGAGGGTTGAGGGTTGAGGGTTGAGGGTTGAGGGTTTAGGGTTTAGGGTTTCGGGAATCGGGTTTCGGGTTTAGGGTATATAAGGTTTAGGATGTAGGGTTTAGGGTACAGGGTGTAGGGGCCACGTTTCTCCCCAGGGCTGCTGGTAAAAGCTTGCACGAGGTTACGCACCATATTGAGAAAGCGTCTCGCTTCCATGATAATCCCGCAGGCCTAAACCCCAAGCCGTAAATTCCTACACCCTAAACCCTGAACACCAATCCTAAACACAAAAAACCAAAACCCTGAACCAAAGCCCAAACCTGTTGATGAACATATCCTTCGGGATTGCAGCCGAGATGTCCCAACCGAACCCCCCCCCCCTAATCCAACATAAACAAAAAAATCTCCAAACCCCCAAACCCAAGACCAATCTTGGGGTTCAGGGCTTTAGCCCTAAACCCTGAACCCTAAACCCCAACCTTTTTCGGGTTTAGGGTTTAAGGGCCGCCTTCGAGCGCGCAGACCATGAAGTGCGCATCGAAGGGCGCCTGCGACGGCACCCGGTGATGGGAAGCCCTAAACCCCAAACCCTAACCCCTAAACCCTAAACCCTAAACCCTAAACAGGGTTGAGGCATGGGTTTTGGAGTTTTGGGGCGTTGGGGTTTAGGGGTTTTCGGGCTTATTAGGGTTTAGGGCTTAGATGGGGTTTGGGCCTTTCGGGTTTGGGAAATTGTTGGAAATTGGGGTGTTCCAGGTAGAGTACCTTCGGCGCGGCAGCCTGCGTTTAGGGCTCGGGGGTTTGAGTCGTTCAGGTGGTTTTGGGGGGTCTACAGCGTTGAGGAGTCTAGCGAAATTCCGACCTGTTTGCTGACGACTTCTTCCTCCTAGACAATTCGGCAGGCGCTTAGGGTTTAAGGGTTTTAAGGTTTAGGGTGTTCGGAGTTCAGGGTTTCAGGCTGTACTTATAACTGTATTGGGACACTTAAGGGGCTTTTAAGTGGGTTAGAAGGACAGTTATAATTGGTTAATGCGTGCCGTGAACCTCCAAGTAGGGGTTGATGCTTGAGGGTTTAGCTTAGCATGCATGATCTCCCCAACTCTTTGCCAAACACCTCCTGAGCTCCCCTAAGACCCCCGTCTATATATATATATATATATACTACCCCCCGAGGTAGTATAGATGGGGTAGTAGGGAACCCTAAACCCTGAACCCTCAACCCTAAACCCAGAACACCAGGAGACACACCAAGCAAACAGACCTGCCTCCAGGTTCTTGGCCTCAGTGTAGCGGTTTGGGGTTCGTGGCTTTGAGGATTTCTTTGGGACTTTGGGTTTGATGTTGCTCTTAGGGTTTCGGGCCTGGGGGCTTTTGAAGTTCTGTAGGGTGAATGGGCGCTAGGACATGCGGCATAAAAAACGCTCATGGTCAAACTTTTAAACTTTTGAGCCCTAGACGCCGGAAGCCCTAGACCCTAAACCCAAAGCCTAAACACTAAACTTTTTAGGGCCCTCCCAGCACATGGAGCTGGGGGTCGTCGCAGGTGGGGGAAACACCTTAAGGCCCAAAATTCAAGCGCAAAGAGCTTGCTTTTACGCTGTGTTGGAGTTCAGGGTTTAGGGTTTAGGGTTTAGGTTTTAGGGTTTAGGGGCCTCGGGTGTGCATGGTCCCTTCATGTGGGCCCTTGAATGGGGAACCTGTATATACCCCTCTATACCCAAAAAAAACCCAAGGGCCCATGATTACTTCAGAACCCTTACCTAGAATCCATCCCGTCTGTCAGTTTTGCTCATGCGTTCACTCTGTTCACGCTTTCAGTAGTCATTTTATCATCATGAAGGAAGCGAAGCGAACCATATTTCTATTGTTATTGACAGGCCCTTAATATTCTACTGAATTGACAGCCCTCTAATACTATCTGAATACTCTAGCCCAAAAAAGGCTCACCTTCTATATATATATATATATATGTAGAGAGAGAGTTCGCCAAAAAAGGTTCAATTCGGATGGATGCTGGGTGCAAGTACTAATGGGCATCCCAGTGCTGAGTCCGCCACGCTCCGGTGGTAGTAGTTCGGCTTCGTGATGACAGTCCTTTACAGCACATCCACACACTAGGGCCCTAAACCCTATCTATAAACCCTAAACTCTGTAAACCCTAAACCCTAAAGCCCTAAGGCCCTGTTCTCCTGTTTCAATATTTTTAGAGATGTCGCCACATTAATTTAATGTGCACGCCAAAAAAGGGCGATGAGGTTCCGCAGTATGTACTCGGCATGGGCAGAAGGCCGCAGCATGGACACCTCCGCCGAAACGTGGTCTTGCAGAACCGCCTCCGGCAAATGCTGAAACCGTAGCTGCCTCGTTCAAGATGGATTTCCCCTGGTGAGTCTGTGCCGTGACCATGCAGCCAGCTGACGTGCCCTAAACACCCAGCACTTGCTGAAGGGCACTGGGGTTCTGGGCTATACGGTCGCTCATGACTGCTCGACCCCAAACCCTCCCTAAAGCCGTAAACCCTAGACCCCAGAAGCCCAAGAGCTTGTTTGACGCCAAACTCTGGCCAGTCACCCTATCGTTGGGCCAAGGGTCTACTAGATTTCGTACATGGACCCTTGAGAATGATCGTCCGTTTTTGTAGTACCTTATACATTAGCGGCCACCCTATGACCGTGACCCTAAATGGGACCACAGTGCAGAGAGGTGACCATATGGGAGTGTACGCCAATAAAGGACCCTAATATAGACCCCCAAACAGGAGGGTCCGCTTATTATAAGGACCCCAATAAGGTACCCCTAATTCTGGAAAATCCCCCCATATGTTGGGATGTTCCTTAATGGGAATTAAAAGAGGGGGTACTATAATCACTATAATCCTTATTGAGGACTGTTCGTATAAGGGGGAACATCCCAACCCTATGTAAACCCTAAACCCTAAACCCTAAACCCTAAACCCTGAACCCTAAAACCTAAACCCTAAACCCTAAACCCCATGGGGCCATAGCCTCAACAATGGACCGCGCCTGAAGTCGAGCGAGCTGTAAAGCGCAATGGCTGCCTCATTCCTGGCTTGCCACAGTCCCCGAGACCCTATCCCTAGTGCCCTGTTTAGGGTTTAGGGTTCAGGAGCCTAATCCCTAATCCCTAATCCCTAAACCCTAAACCCTGAACCCTAAACCCTGAACCCCAAACCCTAAACCCTCAACTAGGGTTTAGGGCTTCCTGTTTAGAGTTTCGTAGTCCAGACAAGGGTAAGGGCCCACCAGGGGCCCTGGACCTACCTAAGGCTCCTATGTAGCACCTATTTTCGGGTAGCATCCTACAACCCCGACAGCTCGGAACTGCCTTTGAGTCCGCGGGAAAAGCTCTCTGGAAGTGTTGATGGATGTAGGCTTGTGGCTTCCGATGTTTGAGGGTGTAGGGTTATAGAAATCATGGGGATTCGGCACTGATGCAGGGCGGGGCGGTCAGAACCATGCTTAGGTGGCAAGAGATGAGAGACCTGGCTCCTAACCCAACACCAGCCCTAAAGCCCCAACACACTAAACCCGGACCCCCCTAAACCCTAAACCCTAAACCCTAAACCCTAAACCCTAAACCCTAAACCTTCCCTACCATAACAAATAATAAACTTCAAAAATAACAACCAGAACCCATAACGTTGAGAACCCGACTTCGAGGGCCCTTCATTGCTCTGCCTGTACCTTGGGTTCGGGTTTAGTTTAGGGTCTAGGGTTTACGGTTTAGGGTTTAAGGTTTAGGCACCACTTTGCGCACGGGGGTTGAGGGTTTAGGGTTTAGGGCTTATGAAGGGGAGCCCTATGAGTACGGCCCTGAAGCCCAGCAGCCCTAACACCCGAAAACCCTGAACAAACCCCGAACCCCCAAACGTTAAACCCTAAAAGCCTATAACCCCAAAACCCCAAAACAACTGAACCCTAAAACCCGGAAACCCTGAAACCTAAATCCTTGAAAACCTAGACCTCTAAAATCCTAAAAGCTAAATCACTTAAACCATCGAACTTTAGAACCCTAAAACCCTAAAACCCTGAACCTAAGTACCTACTTGGAGGTTCATGGTACTTATTATCCAATTGTAACTGTACTTAAAGGGGTTTAGGGTTTAGGGTTTAGGAGCTGTACTCAGAACTGTATTTCAGACACTTAAGGGGCTTATAACTGGGTCATAAGAACAGTTATAAGTGGTTAATGAGTACCATGAACCTCCAAGTGGTAGGTCCAAACCCTAAACCCTAAACCCTAAACCCTAGGCCCTAAACCCTAAACCCTAAACCCTAAACCCCCTAAGTCCCCAAATCCCTCCCCCGGGCCTCACATGGACGTGCAAGCTCAGCTTGCTGATGCCGCGCTGCCCCGCGTCCGCCATCCTTTTAGTGTTGGTCTGGGAGGTTTAGGGTTTAGGGTTTAGGGTTTAGGGTTTAGGGTTTAGGGTTTAGGGTTTAGGGTTTAGGGAATGCGAGGTATATAGATGCTACGTTAACAGTTTATAGGATTCACAGGCTGCTTAAGGGTTTAAGGGGGTTATGATTTAGGGGTGTATCTATAGGTTTTGCAGGAAAGTGGGGCTTACCGAGCGTATCGGGCTTTTAGGCATAGTAGGGCTTGCAGATGTTCGGCGTGCAGGGCTTTAGGTTCTTCTACAGGGTTTGTGGCTTACTTGGAGGTTCATAGTACCCATTCACAAATTATAACTGTACGTATAACCCACTTATAAGCTCCTTAAGTGCCCTGATATGGTTATACGTATAGTTATATGTACAGTAATCATTGGTTGATAGGTTTCACGAGCCTCCAAGTAAACGTCGCCACAGCGATCTGCAGTGGCTACAGCTACAGTAGACTTCGGCGTATAGTCTGGACAAAAAACTACTGGAAACTAAGCCCTCAACCCGCATAGCTGCAACCCTAAACCCAAAACCCAAAACCCAAAACCCAAAACCCAAAACCCTAAACCCTAAACCCAATACCGAAAACCCTAAACCCTAAACCCTAAACCCTAAACCCTAAACCCTAAACCCTAAACCCTACCCCACGGCTCAGCGGCACTGCTCAGCTGCCAAGGCGCACGGCGCGCAGAAGCCGCGAGCCGATGCCGCGACGCCTTGGTCCACTCGCGAGTCGACTGCTTGCTGCCCTAAACCCTAAACCCTAAACCCTAAACCCTAAACCCTAAACCCTAAACCCTAAACTCCTGAACCCTAAACTCTTAAACCCTAAAATCCTAAACCCTAAACCCTGAACCGATAGGCTTGAGGCGGGGACATGTTGTCGACATCCACATGTGTTGATTGCTGAGACCTTTTGTGCAGCACTCCCTAAGCCCTAAAACCTAAGCCCTCTAACCCTAAACCCTAAACCCGATAACCCAAAACCCTAAAACCCTAAGCCCTAAAAGGGAGATGACCCGGCGCTGCATCGGAAGCGCTGCTTCGGCTTTGGGGTTTAGGGTTCCACGGAATTTCGGGGTGTATCCTCAGTACGCGTATGCGGTGGCCAAGCCTGCTGCTCGAGACCTCGCAATGCCCACTGTGACGGGCACGCCCCTCTCCAATGTCTGGCGGCTGGCTGTCAGAGGACTTTTCTGGCACATCTGTCAAGTGTCGGGAACCCTCTCCACTGCATTCGAAGTCGCAGCGACGGCTGACATAGGCTGCGGCATCCCTACCCAGAACAGCAGACCATAGCCCCCAAAGGTACTTCTGCTCTGTACAGGGCGTGCTTGGGGAATCTAGGCAATCCCACTTCTGGAGCCTACCGCGTAAGCCTCAAAGCAGGAGCAAGGGTAGAGGGCCGGGGACACCGAATGTCCCGTGTAGGACAGGGGCCTTGGTGACCCAGAAGCCAAAACTACGGATGCCGGCACAACAAGTCTGATCATCAGATTTCCTTGCGCCTCAATATATCTGAGCAGTAGATCACATAAGTCCTGGTGAGTTCAAGTGTCTGATAACTCAAGAGCCTCGTGGAGTTGTTGGGGGATCAGGGAAAGGACTTTGTGGCCATGTGGTCCTGCTGACTTGAACCACGAAGTCCTCAGAAGCCCTGTATATATATATATATATATTAAACCCAACACCACCGACCCTAAACCCTGAAACCTGCAAACATATAAACCCTAAACCCTGAACCCTCACCCGATGGTCAGCTGCGTGCTCAACACATCCGGTGGCAAGAGGCGGCGTACTGCTGGGCACAAGTCAGCTCTTCGGCTGCACCGTGCACGCGGCAGTGGCCACTCTGCCCCAGTGAATTCAGGCAGTGGTAAGGCCCCCCAAGAATAGGCTCTCCACCGACCAAGTAGCTAACAAGAATGCAAACTACAAGGTGCCCAAAATTGGTACTCTATTCACTATTCTACACATATGGGCCATAAACTTTAGGTTCATGTCGTGAGCACCCTGCAGCCCCCAATGATTCTCAACCAGGGCAACCAGCATCTTTAAACCCGATAAGCTCTGCCTAAACTAGACCCACGAGCTAGGAATCGAAAGGGTGCCCTTTTTGGAACAAAAAAAGTAATAATGGGTCCTAGGAACTAGTACCTTGCCTTCACAGCTAAGAATACCCGGTTAGCGCAGGGCAACGCTACTTGACTTCGTCAGCCGCATCACTCCGTCATGTACCCTTCCGTGTCAGGGATCGTCGGCGTCTCAGTTGCACCCCGGCGGTTCATCCGACTGCGCCGTGCCTTCTTCTGCTTGTGACCATGGCTCAGGATTGCCGGTGGAGGCGCGAAAGCCTCAACGGGCAGATCGGGATTGAAGGCAATCTTCAACACCACGACGGGATCCAGTAGGATATCAACCTTGGTCAGCACGGCTCGTTCGCCACCCACAAGCACCTCATTGCCAAGTTGGAGCTCCTTTGCCGGTACCTGAGCCGCTGGAAGAAGTAAGTCGGAATGAGCTACTCATGGCCGATGCCATTCGGTTATGTTCCCAAAGAGCCCAATAGCTACGCCTCAAATAAGGAGTATGCCTTAAATCAGATTAGGATCCCTATCTAATTTAAGGTATATTCCTTAATGAAGGGGTATTGGGCTCTTGGGTTCTGTGCCATCGCACACCTGGGTAATAACCAAGCTGCAATTCCGCCGTCAGGCAAGACAATGCGGTGGTCCAGTGTCACCTGGTCAGCTCTGCAAAGTAAAAACCATTTTTGGTTCTCTGCTACGATCCGGCGCCTTATATGCCGGAGGCACACACAAGTATCAAGTGGTAAGTGTATACATAATTATACATATACAATGCACCTGTACATATATATATATATATATATATATGCTACCCCCCCCCTCCAAAACCTACCGTTTTCTAATTTTCTACACTTGCGTGACATCAAAACGCTTTAAAATTGAGACCGACTCCCTAAATCCTTTAACCTTATTCGCACAATTTTCTATTGCAAGCACGGGATCCCTACATCGTATTCCCTAAATCATATTCCCTCAGTCCCTAAATCTGGGGCGGGCGGGGGGGCGGTGGGTCACTAAATGGCTCACTAAGTCTTCTCGCTAAATCCCAAAGAACGGGGTCCCTAAATCATCTTCCCATGATTTTAAAAAGCCCTAAAGAGGGAAGTCTTGAACTTCTGAAGAGGAGAGCCGCTGCATTCTAAAAGAGAGTTACTACCTCCACATTTAAAGAAATATTTTTCGTCGAAAATCCGGCTGTGAGACTGCTTTCCATTACGGGGGTTTCCGTACGGGGAAATACCGCCACATTGAAAGAATATTTTCCAGGCGGGGTTCAAAATCTGTCTGCAGGCTTCGTTTTTGATTTCTGAGCTGCAGTCTGGATCGTCGAAACTACAATATATTCCTAATGTGCTTAATAGAGAATGCATACATTGCCATGGTCTCATTATTGCAGTGCCCTGCCTTTCTTACTTATTGCGGTGGGCCGGGGGTCCCACCAATTAAACAGATGCTCGGATAAAATCTTATCGGGATCCCTAGATCTGGTTCCCTGAAATTAACTCGCTAAGGCCGCCTAAAGGGGGGGGGGGCTAAATCCTAAAGAGGAGGTCCCCTAAATCCTAAAAAGCATTCCCTTAGTTTTACTCTCTAAATCCTATTGCTTAAGCCTTAAAGAGGGGTGTCCTAAAGAGGGGGATCCTTACTGTAAATCTTAAAAATGAGCCTCTCCTTCTACATCATAAAACAAAGAACCTTGCTCAGTAGATCTTATCGCTAAAGTCAACAAAGAAGGATCCCTCAATCTTATTCTCTTAATTTTACTCCCTAAATCCTATTGGGGAAGGGGGGGTGGGAGGGAGTCACCAAATCCTAAAGAGGGAACCTAAAAAATAGCCTTAAAACCCCAAAAATGAGACCCCCCCCCCTAACTCATACAAAAGCCCACCTTGCTCAATAAATCTTCTCGCTAACGCTAAAGCCTTAGCGATAAGGTTTGGGCTCCCTTAGAAAATAGGATTTGGGAACTAAGCTTTGGGATGCTCCCCACTTCAGCGCCTATTCCCTAAATCCTGCTCGCCAAAAAGTCCTAAAGAGCGGGATCCAATATAATGATGAAATATGTCCGATTCAAACTTGAATCGGCCGATTCAGTTTTGAATCGACCCTCAAACTAAAGATTGAAGTCGTCGTAATGTTGCAATACTCACATGCATATTCATACTGTGTATCGGCTTTATATGTATGAGTTGGCATGTAATCTGTGTACTCAATCTCCACAACACAACAAATTTGCTTATAAGGACTTAGTTTGCTTCTAATTAAAAGGGGAGAGGGTGCCAGGGGTCGGTCTTCCAAAATAAGCAGGACCAAAAAACACTCCCCACCACCCCCCTCCCCCCCCCCTCCCCTCTACTTCACTCCGCTGCGCGTTCTGCGTTTGTTTAAGGGTGTTGTCAGGCTTATTCTCCAAAACCCTATCGGTCCAGGGTTTAGGGTGTTAACGTAGGGTTAAGCAATTAAACCTCAACCCTGGACCTTTAAACACCCTATAGGGTTAAGGTTTAAAGGTTTAGGATTAAGTTTAGACATGTAAACCTTGACCTACAACTCAACGGAAACGCGAAACCTTTAACCCTTGCAGGGTTAAGGTTTAAAGGTATAGGGTTTAAGATATAGGCACTCTAAACCCCTATCGATCCAGGGTTTAGGGTTTTAAAGAAAAGCCCCGAAACCCTTAGGATGAAACAAATAAGCCTAATTCTTTAACCTTTAAACCCTGTAGGTTTAAGATTTAAAGGTTTAGGGTTTAAGATATAGGCATTTAAACCTTGACCTGCCAATACACCGAAACCCTTAAACTTTATGGGTTAATTCAAGGTCTAGGGTTTAAGATATTGGTATTTAACCCTTGACGTGCAATTAAACCGAAACCTGCAACCTGGAAACTTTATAGGGTTAAGGTTTAAAGGTTTAGAGTTTAAGATAAATGGTTTTCAATCTAAGCCTGCAATTCAACTGAAACACATAACCTTCAAACCCTATAGGGTTAAGGTTTAAAGGTCCCGGGCTTAGCGTTTTACAGAGAAGCCCCGAAACCCTATGTAGGGTTGTAATTAACCTAAACGCGCAATCTGAACAGGCTGGCCCGTTTCAAATTGAAACGGCCCGATTCAGTTTGAATCGGGGCCCAAACCGAAGATTGAAGATTGAAGATTCCCAGGGACTCTTCCTGGGAATCTTCGATTTGAATCTTCAACGGGTGGCCCGTTTCAAATTGAAACGGCCCGTTTCAATTTGAAACGGGCCCCAAACCGAAGATTGAAGATTGAAGATTCCCAGGAACTCTTTCTGCGATTTGAATCTTCAACGGGTGGCCCGTTTCAAATTGAAACGGCCCGTTTCAATTTGAAACGGGGCCCAAGCTGCGCGTCGAAATTGAGTCGATTCAACGCATACATACTGGAACCACTTTCAGTGGCGTAATATACAATACCATGGCCTAGAGTTGCGTAATATATTTTTAACCATAAGAAAAATCTTCAGGACCGGGAGTTTTAAAACTCCTTGCTTAGCCACGAGAGGAGTTTTAAAACTCCTGCCATTGAAGATTGAAGATTGTCGGGGCCAAGAGTTTTAAAACTCCTTGCTTAGCCACGAGAGGAGTTTTAAAACTCCTGCCACTGAAGATTGAAGATTGAAGATTCCCCGGAACTCTTTCCAGGAATCTTCAGTCTTCAATCTTCGGGGCCAGGAGTTTTAAAACTCCTTGCTTAGCCACAAGAAGAGTTTTAAAACTCCTGGCCCTGCAGATTTTTTTCGGCGTCTTGAAGTATTTGCTATTTCGTATTTTATGTATATCTATAGATATATGTCCATATATATATATATATATATCCGGCTTCGAATATAGTAAGCACGTCTCGACATAGAAAAGGGTATGAAACGGTAGGTTTTTTTGGGGGGGGGGGGGGGGGACCATATATATATATATAATATACACAGATGCACTCGCACATCTTTGTATATACATATTGAATATATTTGTTAATGTATTAGTTTTCTTATTTACATGGCACACCTCTACCCTAAACCCAACCCTGCATTTGAACCATGAACTCTGCGTCTACGAGCAAGACTTTTCAGAGCTAAACCCTAAACCCTAAACCCTGAACCCTAAACCCTAAACCCTAAACCCTAAACCCTAAACGCCCCACCTGCAGCGTCGCAGCGCCGGCTTGCAGAAGCACCGTGGCCCGGGTCTCGTGCTGCTCCGGCGGCGAGGCGACTTCCAGAAGGGAGCCATCCTCGAGTTGCGGTTTAGGGTTTAGGGTTTAGGGTTTAGGGTGTAGGGTTTAGGGTTTAGGGTCTAGGGTTTGGGGTTTAGGGCCTTAGGGTGTTTAGGCCGTTTAGGCTGTTTAGGCTTTAGTGTGCCCCTTTTGCCGTTTTGTTGAACTAATGTGGTCTAACAAGGTATCCTAACACTAAACGAGGCGAATGAATAAGGGCCCTACAAGGCATCCCAGCATCTGCAGCAAGTACGCGGGAGCCCTTGCGCAAGGCTCGGCCGTTGATGCAGCGATCATCTTGTGTCTTAAACATATAGTTGAGCACGAAGCAACGATGCGTTGATGTGTCTGCGGAAAGCAAGGATGTAGAGCTCGGGGTGGGGTTGGAGACTTGATCGACACGAACCCAAGTATCTGGCACCGCTTGCGTGTCCTGATCTTGCAAGGCACGGATGGCAGTGGATCGGACAACCGCGGCTCCTGAAGGATGCTGAAGAGCACTCTTAGCCAGCAAGAGCTCGATCTGTGCCTGGAGAAAGTAATAATCCAACTCTGGGGTAGTATGCCGGACGCGGCGCCAAAGGCCGTGCTCCCTTGTGTCATCGCCCTCAGCCCCTACCGAGCTCCTGATCAGCTCCTGCACACATTTCAGAAGCTGCTGCAGCCTGTCCGTCGGCAGCTGCCGCAACTCTTCATCATAACGTCCACCTCTCAGAAATGTCAGAATCCCGTGCGCCACCGGACCTGGTTCGGTGAGTTCCTCCAAGGCCGCAAGACCATCGACGTACCTTCGCAAGATCGACCTTTTGAGCCAAAGCTCGAGACAGACAATGCTAGATGGAGACCAAGGAGCAGCCTTGCAATCCGCCAAGCACTTCTCCAGCAAGTCCAAACACTTCTGCGCCGCACTCAAACTGGGTGCGAATGGGACAGCCCTCGGGTATAGTATTAGTCCTTGCGGCAGCCCAAGGCCATCGAGCATGCGTCGAAGCCGCATGCGATCCTGCACGGCTCGTTCGTTGAAAGCGATGTCACTTGCCGCCCAGGCAAAGCATCCTAAGTACAAGAAGCAACCCCCTTCCATGGCTCGAGTTAACACTGCCGGCTACACACAAAGTTGCTGAGCATCAGAGGCCAGGGCCAAAAAGGCTGGATGTGGGCTCTAAGACGAAATAGCTAGAGCTTCCAGAGATCTGACTCCTTCATAGCCATCCGCCAAGCCCCTTACATGTTGCCTCAGTCTCAACAACCCCTCTAAGCCCTCCACTCATCTACTAATTGCTTCAGAGCCCCGAAAAAATGACAAAATATTCTTCCTTATTAAGGGTGATATAGGGATAATTATTTCTTTATTCTTTTGGGGTTCTTAAGCGAATAGTACTCATCCGAGGGCCGCGCGGCACGGCCGTCACCAGACTCTGAACCCGCAGCCCATCCTCCATCTCCTGCGGAAAGACTCTTGGAGTTGGTTTAGGGTTTAGGGTTTAGGGTTTAGGGTTTAGGGTCTAGGGGGAATCAAAGTTCAGGTTCCGTAGACCCTAAGTAATCAAAACCCTGAGCCCTTAAATCCTGCACCTTACCGAGGTTGGAGACTCATGCGCTTGAGGAGCGGCTTCATAAGGGGCGTTTAAGGTTCAACAGGGCTGAAGGAGGCGTATAAAAAATGCTTCTAAAGTGGCTTAACAAGGCTAACACCCAAACCCTGAACCCATGGAAGAGGGAATCGATTGGGCACAAAGGTGCGGGAACTTTCGGAGAGGTGTGGGGATTAGGGTTTAGGGTTTGTGGTCTAGGGTTATAGGGTGGATTGGGCTACCCGAAGTAAGGCACCATAATCCAAAGAACGAAGCCTGGAAGGGTTCATGGTCCATGTCATATAATGCCTTCTACTACAAGGAGCCCCCCCCCCCCCCCAGTTATAAGTAGAGTTATAAGGGCCCTAAATTGGGTTAGAAGGATACTAAATTAGTAAGGGGGCCCCTCCTTGTAGGGATTATAGAAGTATAGGGTAGAGGGTTTGGGGTTCAGCTTGGGTTTAGGAATTATAGTCATGTAGGGTGTATGGTCCCAATTTTAGGGTCCCGCTTGGCCCGGGCCCAAGGCGCAGTGCACAAGAGCTCCTTGCAGATAAGGGCTCCAACCAGGGTGCCTTGACAAGAGGAGACAGTCGGCAGCGCCGAAACCCTAAATCCTCAACCCTATAGAGCATTAGGAAGGGTTCAGGGTTTTTTGTGGCTTTGGGTTTAGCCCCGACTGCATGCTTTCATTGACCTCTCACCGGGGGCTGCGAGAGTTGAGGGGCTCCTACGTCCCAAGGGGCCCGCAAACCTAACCCGACATGGTCAAAATGATTATCCCATTCCGGGCACCCTAAAACCCTAAACCCTTAACCCTAAACCCTTAGAGTAGTAAACTCAAAAGGGACCATAATTTAGAGAAGTGACCAAATCGAGGTTTCATGGTCATGGGGCTCTATGGCTTTTTTGCCTCCTGCGTCTCCATACAGAGCTGCAAGGCCAGGACCCTAAACACTCAACCCTCAACCCTCAACCCTCAACCCTCAACCCTCAACCCTAAACCCTAAACCCTAGATCCAAAACCTCAACCCTGAAGCCTGAACCCCAACTAAGCCTTCCAGTGAGCCCCAGAAATCAGAGCTAAGAAGCCCTAAACCATACACCCTAAGCCTTGGCGTCAAGGGTACCTTCTTGAGTTATAAGCCTCTTGGCTGAGGCTTGAAAGACCCTAAACCCTAAACCCTAAACCCTAAACCCTAAACCCGAGTAAGGGGGGCTGCTGCGGCGGTCGGCTGCATCGATTAGGGCCTTGTTAGCATGGTCGGGCTTACGGCGTATACTTGGAGGTTCATGGTACTTAGACATGGCTGCACCTACTTAGGGTTTAGGGTTTAGGGTTTAGGTACCTTACTTGGAGGTCCATGGTATTTTATTAACCAATTAGAACTGTACTTATGACCCACTTATAAGCCCCTTAAGTGCCCTAACATGGTTATAAGTACAGTCATAAGTACAGTTATAATTGGTTAATGAGTACCATGAACCTCCAAGGACGGTGTATGGGGTTGAGAGCATGTTAGGGCCTACGGTTCGCAAGATCGAGAGTCGAGAGCACAATCCCCTAAAGGAAACCCTACCCCCGCAACAACCTGATTAACCCCTATAGACCCCCTAAACTCCCTGAACCCCCAAAGCCCCCTACACCCCCCTAAATACCCCTTAGCCCCCCCTAAACCACCCAAAACCCAAAATCCTAACTCCCTAAATCCATAAACCCTAAACCCCTAAATCCTAAACCCTAAACCCCTAAACCCTAAATCCGAGGGTGGCAAGGCGCTGTCGCACAGCGCCGCCCTGGAGAATGGACTGCCAGCGGCGTCCTGGAAACGCACACCAGGGCCGATGTCGGGTTGAGGGGGTTTAGGGTTTAGGGTTTAGGGTTTAGGGTTTAGGGTTTAGGGTTGAGTGTTTAGGGTTTAGGGTTTAGGGTGTAGGGTTTAGGGTTGAGTGTTTAGGGTTTAGGGTTTAGTGTTTAGGGATTAGAGTTTAGGGTTTAGGGTTTGGGGTTTGGGGTTTGGGGTTTGGGGCAACCTAACCCGGAAAGAAAACCGGCTTTAAAGCTCATTGTTCTGGCTTCAGGGGATCAGCGTGGTACCTTGTTGTGTACAAAGGAGCACAGCCTGAACTACATAAGGATCCTGTGATGTTTAGGGTTTATGGTTGAGGGTTTAGGGGTCTGCGTACTTCGGCTTGCGCCTAGATCTCAACACACCCCCCCCCCCCCCAAAGAAAAAAAAAGAAGTCCTTTTACACACCCTCAAGCCCTTCGACCCTATCCCCTAAACCCTAAACCTGTTCGACCCCCAGCTTCTCCTGAAGTACACCTTGAGGATCTTTGGGGGGGCGACGCGCACCCTTTGGGGCATCACAGACCCTGTACAAACATCAACCCTGTCGTAGAGCCCAGTGGACCCTCAGTCTTCGAAACAACCTAGGGCCCTAACCCCAGTTTAAGGTTTAGGGTTTAGGGCCTGAAAGCTCGACAATGTTCGCATCAACAGCCAGCCCACTGAGATAAACACCCCCAAGCCCTAAAACAAAAAACCCTAAACCCAAGCCCTAAAACCTCACCCTAAACCCTAAACCCCTACGACCCTGAGGCTGAATGTCCCGAAAGAAGTCGTCGCTGTAGGAGACAGGCAGGCGAGCCTCCCGTCCAAACAAAGCCAGGGTTGTTGCGGGTCTTAGGGCTTAGGGGTTTAGGGTTTAGGGCTCAGGTTTGGGGGTTTTAGAGTTTGGGGTTGAGGGTCGGCGGGTTGAGGGTTGAAGGGCTTAAGGGTGCGAGTTGAAGGGTTTGAGGGGTTGAAGGCTTGAAGGATTGTAGGGTGTAAGGGTCGAAGGGTTCATGGGTTTAAGAATTGAGAGTTTAAGGGTGCAAGGGTCTGAGGTTTAAAGTTCAAGCGTTTCAGGGTCTAGGGATTCAAAGGTTTCGGGTTTAGACAGTGGCTTTTCGACGGGCTCCACTGCCAGTATCTTCTTAGGCCAGAAACCTTAGAGTAAAAGTCCAGGGAGCCACGGGAAAAATGGAAAATGAATGGCCGAGTAAGATGTAGAACTTGCCATGTGGTTTATTTCTTTCTGTGTTCATTATAATGGTCATTTTTGTTCGGGCTTAGGGTTTTGGGATGTTGCCCCTTGTACTAACAGTCCTTAATAGGGATTATCGTACCCCCAACTATCATTCCAAAAAAGGACTGTTAGTATAAGGGGGAACATAGTTGCAGGTTGGAGGGGGGTCGGATTTATCAAGTGTCAGTTTCTGGGCCTCTGGAGTGGAGACCCGAAGCCCTCAGGTCTGATAGGTGCCCTTCATAACGGGTCATCCAATGTCTCCTTCTTAAGATGCCATAAACTACTATGTGCTTAAGAAACCCCTTCCCCCAAAGAACACATGAAAGATAATGTTCCCTACATATATTACCCTTGTAGATTTTTTTTTTTTGGGGGGGGGGTTCTTAAGCAAATTGCAGCAAAGTACACCCCACCCGCACTGGAAGTCTTAGATGGAGAGTTGGGGGACGTGCCTTTTGTAGAAGCTGCAAGATGTTTTTGCAGGGTGGCATACAAGGAGAGCCTGAAAGCCTCAGTATAACCAAAACCTTAGGGTTTAGGGCTTAGGGTTTGGGGTTTAGGGTTTGGGGTTTAGGGCGCGCTAAGCCCTAAACCGCCTAAAGCCCTATCAATGTTTGAGGGTTGCGGGCTTAAGATGCCCCTAACCTTCCTCCCATCCACCCGTCGCGCATCCCAACGTAGCCTTGGAAGGCCAACAACTTCAACAACACCGCAAAAGTGGATAGCGTCTCCGGTGAGGTTTCGTGTTTAGGGTTTAGGGGGGGGGGGGGGGGGGGGGGGCATATTTCCAGCGAATATCTCTGAAAACTCTACTTGGAGGTTCATGGTACTTATTACACTTATAACTGCACTTATAACCATACTAGGACACTTAAGGGGCTTATAAATGGGTTGGACAGTCAAAATCGTACAATGAACCTCCAAGTATGCTCGTAGTGGGAGTCTTACCCTAGCGCCGGCTCTGAAGCCTAAGGCGCAAAAAGGCAATCGAGCAACCATCCCACCCATAAACCCTAAACCCTAAACCCTTAAACCCTAAACTGGCGTAAACCGTAAATGTCCCGCCAGCGCACCTCATGCAACCGCTTCACGGCCAAGAAGTGACTCGAGGTTAAGGGCACGAGCTCCACGCCTTCAAAGGGTTTAGGGTTCAGGGTTTACGGTTTGGCCGACTTCTGAACCTCTCCTAAAAGTTTATCCGTCGGGTTGCTTATTGCAGTTTCTACGAAAGCCCAAAAGGTTAAAGTCCTAAGAGCCAGCCATAAGTAAGCCATCAGTGTCTAGGGCTTTTGCAAATGGGATTTACGGTAAGTGCATAGCGGACCCAAAGAAGAATTGAGAATGAAGTATCCCGTGCCCCTATCTAGGCTGCTGTATGGAAGCGGCTACGGCAGGTTTCGACATGAGCTGGGGTTCCGTGGGCTTGGGAAGTTGG